CGACGGGGACAAATGGAGACGTTACTGGCGCCCGCTCGAGCAAATCGACGATTAACGGGAAGTCAAGTGATCAAGTGATCTAGGAATCCTGAGCGAATGTTGAACACTGTGAAACATGGTCCATTCACAAGAGTGACCTCCAGGTGTGGGAGATCATGATTCACCATCAGAAAACCCAGTAATGCCACTTCATAACTCTGTGCTGATGCACTATTCGGTCCTCCCAAGCAGGAGGCAAGGAGGCAGGGGTTCTCTGAGGTGCCGCTGTGGGCACGCTGCAGGACGGAGAGAGAGCTGTCTGCCAGGACCCGCGCGACTGGCAGGAGTGAGCAGTCTCAGAGACACTCCTGAGACCCCACCACGGAACACGAGCAAGGAAGGAACTGCAGGGTAATCCAGTATAACGCAGGTAAGAGTAGGTAAGTAGACTAGGTAAGAAGAGAAGACGTCACGCGAAGAGCAGCTAAGAACCTTGCAAGGGATGGAGGAAGAGGAAGGAAGAAAGATAAAAGGTGCAAGCCACGTGTTCTGTTTTGCTTTTAGGGGCACACCAGGTGATGCCCAAGGTCTCCTGCCTGCTACGAGAGGGTCACTCCTGGTAGTAAATTTTTAATTTAATTTTTTCCCTTTTTTTTTTTTTTTTGCTTTTTGGGTCACACCTGGTGATGCTCAGGGGTTACTCCTGGCTTTGCACTCAGGAATCACTCCTGGCTGTGCTCGGGGGACCTTATGGGATGCTGGGAATCGAACCTGGGTCGGCCACGTGCAAGGCAAACGCCCTACCCACTGTGCTATTGCTCCAGCCCTTAATTTAATTATTTAATTTTAATTTTTTTAAATTTTTTAATGTTTTAAGATTTAATTTAATTTTTAATTTTTAAATGCAATGTGACTGCTGGGAGCCTGGCCCCCTGCAAGCAGAACAGTAGCACCTTGAACCATTCTCCAGACCCAAGTCCTACATGTTTTCTTTTTTTTTCTCCCAAGGGTAAAGGTTTCCCCAGGACCCCACACATTGTCTGCTGCTTGCATTTCATTGCACTGCATGGTTCCACGTGAGGAAAATCTGACTAGAGATAAGTGTGGCCATGGGGAGGCATTGAGTCACCTCACTCAGTGTTGTCCGACGCGTCACTCGTGTGTTTCTTCATAATGCTGCATAACAACCTGTTATGGGCTCCCCAACCCCCCACACCACCACCCCCTGCCCCCTCCAAGTCTGTGCAATGGGTTGAGATACAGCGGCCTCTAGCCAGCAGGAGCCTCAGAGAAGAGCTGAATCAACCGTTTTTTCATCCCTGGACTTTTTTTCTTTTGCTTTTTTGGGGTCACACCCGGCGATGATGCACAGGAGTTACTCCTGGTTCATGCACTCAGGAATCACTCCTGGCGGTGCTCGGGGGACCATATAGGATGCTGAGAATCGAACCCGGGTCAGCCGCATGCAAGGCAAATGCCCTACCCGCTGTGCTATTGTCCAGCCCCCATCCCTGGACTTTTGTTATCTTGGTGAAGAATAGCCCGCTGTTTGCTGAAGCCGTGTGTGTGTGTGTGTGTGTGTGTGTGTGTGTGTGTGTGTGTGTGCGCGTGTGGGCTGTGGGCAACAATGTGAGTCTTGGTCATCTCAACAGAAAGGCAGGACAAGCAGGCCGGAGAGCCAGGAATAACTCCCCGCTCCCAGAGGCACATGACTTCTGCCTGGGATCTGGAAAACAACAGCCAGGAAGCGCGTGAATCAGGAAGCTGCATCTGTCACAATCTGTAACAGCGAAACGGATGTCCCCAGCGAGTAGGTCTGTTCCAAATTTGTGTCTGGCAAAAGGGCAGATCCTACATCCTCATTCCTAGCGCAAGTGCATCTGGGAAACGTAGTCCTCACTCGCCAGCGCCCGTGCCCGGGAAAAACACTGAAAGGAGTTTGGGGCTGCAGACTGACTGGCTCACCACTGAGGGCAGTTTTGGCCACTCGAACCTTTGTGGTCACCTCTAACTGATACATAGACTAAGAGCCACAAGAGGGGCTGTACAGTGGGTAGGGCCTTGCACTTACAGGCAACCGACCCGGGTTCGATTCCCAGCATCCCATGTGGTCTCCTGAGCACCGCCAGGAGTAATTCCTGAGTGCAAAGCCAGGAATAATCCCGGTGTATCGCTGGGTATGACCCAAAAGGCAAAAAATAAAATAAATTTTAAAAATTAAAAAAAAAAAAGCAACAAGGATAGGGCTGAAACAGAGTGAGCCCTGTAGCACAGTTTATAAGTACTAATCAAACACTTGTAGATCAATACCAACCTCTTAAATGAAATGCACATTTTCACTTTTTTTTTTTTTTTTTGCTTTTTGGGATCCCACCCGGCGATGCACAGGGGTTACTCCTGGTTCATGCACTCAGGAATCACTCCTGGCGGTGCTCGGGGGACCATATGGGATGCTGGGAATTGAACCTGGGTTGGCCACATGTAAGGCAAACGCCCTACCCACTGTGCTATTGCTCCAGCCCCTTTTTTGTTTTTTGGGTCACACCAAGCTGCTCCTCAGGGCTTTCTCCTGGCTCTGTGCTCAAGGATCAGTCTTGGCAGGTTTGTGGAACCATACAGGGTGTCTGAGATAGAACCCAGGTCAGTCATATGCAAGGCAAGCACCTTACTTGCTCCAGTCCCCTATTATGTACATTTTCAAGGACATTTGCACAAACTGGTAAAGGAAAAAAGAAGGACAAGGGACTATGGGTCCAGAGATAAAAGAGATAAATCAAATCAAGCAAAACAAGAAAGATTGTGTACGGTCTGAGGGTGGGAATGATATAAACAAAGGAATACACTAACTCAGTTAATAACTAATATCAATTTAAAAAATAATTTCATACAAATTTATTATGGGCTCAATAAACAATTATACCTAATTAATTTAAATAGTTAACTCTGTATTGACTATGGGCTGGAGTAATAGCACAGCGGTAGGGCGTTTGCCTTGCATGCGGCCGACCCGGGTTTGATTCCTCCGCCCGTCTCAGAGAGCCCAGCAAGCCACCGAGAGTATCTCACCCGCGCAGCAAAGCCTGGCAAGCTACCCGTGACATATTTGATATGCCAAACACAGTAATAACAAGTCTCACAATGGATACATTACTGGGCCCGCTGGAGCAAATCGATGAACAACGGGAGGACAGTGGTACAGTGCTACGGTATTGACTATATCATATTCAATTTGCCAAATTCAATACATTGAATTTGGCAAAATAAATATTCAAAACCAGTTATGTTTTATAGCTTCTGTACGGATCTGTTAGACAGATTAGACAGATCTGTTCTAATGACCCCCACAAACAAACAAACTCCAAAAGAGGTCCAGAGGCTGAGTAGAGGCCCGGGGTTCAATCTCATCCCAGTGAGGGAGGAAATGTAGGTCTCTTGGGGTTGGTAAGATCGTGGAGCAGGTAGTGCTCTTGCCTTGCACCTCGCTGACCTGACTTTAATCCCCAGCAGAGCGATAGCACAGCGGTAGGGCGTTTGCCTTGCACGCAGCCAACATGGCCGACCCGAGTTCGATTCCTCCGCCCCTCTCGGAGAGCCCTGCAAGCTACCGAGTATCTCGCCCGCATGGCAGAGCCTGGCAAGCTCCCCGTGACGTATTCGATATGCCAGACACAGTAACAACAAGTCTCACGATGGAGACGTTACTGGGCCCGCTTGAGCAAATCGATGAACGACGGGAGGACCGTGACCGTGATCCCATACAGCCTCCGGGTACCGCCAGGAGTGATGCCTGAGTGCAGAGCCAGGAGTAACCCCTGAGCATCACTGGATAGGGGCCAACTCGCCTCCTCAACCCATTCTCCACTCCACCTCCAAAAATAAATAAATACAGTTCTAATAGATCCTTAGCGGGACCCCCAGTCTTAATGAGAGTCCGGCTTTATTGGGCTTCTCACTCTTCATCCTCACTCCTTAAAGCCCCCCTTCACTAGAGGAGACCTTGACTAGGCACATTTTATTTTAGTTTATTAATTTATTTGATTTTTGGCTCACACCCGGCGATGCACAGGAGTTACTTCTGGTTCATGCACTCGGGAATTACTCCTGGCAGTGCTCAGGGGACCATATAGGATGCTGGGAATCGAACCTGGGTCGTCGGCGTGCAAGGCAAACGCCCTACCCGCTGTGCTATCGCTCCAGCCCCGACTAGGCGCGTTTTAAATCTTTTCTTCGGAGGCACGGAGAATGGGACCCAGAATTGTTGGCTGGAGGCGGGCGCTGATCCATCTCTCCGCCCTGGGTCTGAAGCCCTTGGAGCCCTTCGTTTCCTTCTAGTGCAGCAGGTCCCCAAGATGAGCAACTTTGGGGCCGATGAGGGTCCCCCTCGTCACAGCACCTGGGGGCCCGGGACCCAGAGCGCCTGAGCCCCTGGGCTGGTCCAGGGCTCGTCTGGGTTGCTGAGTGGCGGAGAGCATCCGCCCCTCCTAGTTGAGCAGGAGGTACTCCAGAGACACATTGTCCTGTGGGCCACCTGGGGTGAAGCTGGGCTCCCCTGGCTCCCACGTCCACCCGCCACAGTAGAGTTTGGGGTGTGAGACGCCTCACCGGCCGTGGCCTTTAACCCGGCTTGATCAGCTCAGCCCAGGGTGTTTGCAGGGCTCATTCCCTAAGTCCAGCCATCTGTCGCCACCTCGGAGTGTGGACAGCCCGGCGAGGATTGCCCAGATTAGTTCCACAGGGCAGTAGAAGAGGAAGGGGCCCTGTCCTGGGACCCCACTGGGAACCCCACTCCCAGGCCCTCATTCTATTATAGACTGGACCACTTGAGCTGCAGCTGTGGGGACGCCTTGCTGGCTGGCAGGGAGAAGGGCACCCTCTATTCTCAGGCAGACACCAGCTGTCTGCGGTGTGTGTGTGGGGGGGGGGGGCGGATGATCAGCTTCCCAGCCCCCCTGCCAAGGGAAAGAAGAGCAGCTTCTGCAGAGCGGTGGCACATGGTGACAGCACCCTGGGGCTCTGGCTGCCAGCTGGGGGGCCTGTGTGGGACCTGTGTCCGCCGGGACCCAGCCCAGCTCCAAGTCCTGCTGGTGTCCCCGGAGGACGCAGCCCAAGTGGACAGCAATGGGTGGGTGAGTGCCCCGGTTCTTCCCAGTGGTGGATTCCCACTACCTGGGGTTCTTGGGAAGAACGGAGAGGTGAGGGTGGGTCGGGGGGACATGCTTGAGCGGTTGGGGGTGGAGGGTCTCAGGGACCGCCCCCCCAACCCTGGAGAAATGCTCATTGCACGGTCCCTCCCGCAGACAGGTCTCATGGTGGCTTGCTGCCACGGCTTTGGGAGCATCGTGACCCTGCTCAGGCACTGCCCTTCCCTCGATGTGGACCATCAGGACAAAGAAGTGGACATGGCCCGCATGCTGGCTGCACAAGCAGGTGTGTGGTGGCCGACGTCGCCCTCTGCTGCCCCATTCCTGCCCAGGGCCACAGCCGGTGAGACGTCTCACACCCCAAACTCTGCTGTGGCGGCTGGACGTGGGAGCCAGGGGAGCCCAGCTTGACCCCAGGTGGCCCACAGGACACGTGCCTCTGGGGTGTGTCCTGCTCAACTTCTTTGCGGGCCTGGACCTGGAGCACCGAGACCAGCGTGGGCTCACAGCACGGATGAAGGCGGCCGTGTGGGACCGTGCAGGGTGCGTGACTACGCTCCTCGTGGCAGGTGGGGGCCGGCGGCCGCAAGGCTGTGTGTGCATGAGTGCATGTGTGTGCATGTGTGTATGTGTGTGCATGTGTGTACACCCAGACTTCTCATTGTCAGCCAAGTGCAGCCATCCCTGCTTCCCTTGACACACGGCCTGGTGGTTCCGGCGGAGAAAGCTTGAGAGGATAATCTGGACCACGTGGAGAAAATAACCCCAAAAGACTAGGAGCTGGAACAAGATTGGGGATCTAGGGCCGGAGAGATAGGGCGATGGGTAGAGCAATGGGTTTGTCTTGCAAACGCCGCATTCAGTTCGATCGCTGGCATCCCATACGGTCGTCTGAGCCCCACCAGGAGTGATCCCTGAGCACAGCTGGTTACAGCCCTGAAAAGCAAAAATATGGGCCCAGAATGACAGTACAGCAGGGAGGGCACTTGGATTGCACACAGCCGACTGGGGTTTGCTCCCTGGCATCCCATTTGGTCCCCTGGGCCCAGCCAGGAATAATTCCTGAGTGCAGAGCCAGAAGCAACCCTTGAGAATGACCGGTGTGACTCCCCCCCCCCCAAAAAAAAAAAAAAAACAAAGAAAAAAGCAGCTGGAGATCTAGGTCTGTAGCCCAGTGCTGTGACCTGAGCAGATGACTGGGCCTTGCTGGTATATCAAGGCGTCACCCTTCCCTGGGATGACACCAGCTCTAAGCTGTGGCCCAGGACCAGTGATGTGAAGAGGGGGTCCGTGGCACTGGTATAGGGTATAACAGGCAAGGTTGGGAACGATTTCTCTTTCCTATCAGATTAGGTTTGGGGTGATAAGGGATGGAGCACTCCACCCGCGTTGTCTCAGAGTGACTGCTGCTCCCGGGCCCAGGATGAGAGGCATGTGGGGGTCTCCAGAAGGCCCAGCCTGTCCCCGGGAACCCGCACACACACACCCTGGGTCAGTTCTGTGTGTCAGGAGGAGTCGAGTCTGCTGCTGAAATCAGAGACCCCGGAAGCTCTCTCCAAAGTCTTCCCCCTCATCGTCTTCAGTTTCTCCATCTAAAACAGGAGGTTGGGTGTGGGGCAGGACCAGCATCTGAGCTGCAGCCACTGAGGCCCCGGATTCCAGCTGCAACCACGGGACCCTGACTCTGAACTAAAGTGAATTCAGTCTTGCTGAGGATTCTCCCTTCTGGGGGCTGGAGCAATAGTACAGCGGGTAGGGTAAGACTTCTGATCGGGGTTCAACCCTGGTCTCCTGAGTATTTCCAGGAGTGTGGTCTGATCTCTACCCCCATGGCCCCCCAAATAGAACCTCCCTTATGGAACTGGAGGGACAGGTAGGAGCACATGCTTTGTAGCCAGGAGGCTGGGTTTGGTCCCTGATACTGTGTGGTCCTCCAATGTGGAGCTGGGAGTAGCCCTGAGCACTGCTGGGTGTGGATACCTCCCCACTCCCCCCAACATGCGCGCGCGCGCACACACACACACACACACACACACACACGAATCTGCCCTTCTGTTAGGAATCTGGCTCAGCAGTATAGTGTTTGCCTTGTCTGCATGAGGCCCTGGGCTGGAGAGATAGCACAGCGGGTAGGGCGTTTGCCTTGCATGCGGCCAACCTGGCCGACCCGAGTTCGATTCCTCCGCCCCTCCTGGAGAGCCCGGCAAGCTACCAAGAGTATCTAGCCCGCACTGCAAAGCCTGGCAAGCTCCCTGTGACGTATTCAATATGCCAAACACAGTAACAATAAAGTCTCACAATGGAGACTTTACTGGGCCCGCTCGAGCAAATCGATGAACAACAGGAGGACAGTGCTACAGTGCCACAGTACATGAGGCCCTGAGTTTGATCCTAACAAATTTTAAGAAAAGAAAAACAAACTTATTGTGGGCTGGGAGATAACTAAGAGGTTGGAGCACACGCTGGGGGCCCAGATTTGATTCTCAGGCCCACAGGGTCCTCAGCACTGCACTAGAATAGTCTCCGAGCACTGTTGTGTGGGCCCCACTGCCTCCAAAGAAACCTGCTCTTCTGCAAATCCCCCCTGTCAACCCCCCACCCCCCGGGCCTCCTCCAGGGGCTGACCTGACAGCGGTGGATCCCGTGCGGGGCAGGACAGCCCTGGAGTGGGCGGTACTGACCGACAGCTTCGCCACAGTGCAGAGAATCTGGCTTCAGTGGCGGCCACACACGGAACAACTCAGCCGGCACTTCCAGCCCCAGTGGCCGAGGCTGGCCGGGGTCGTGGCCCCAGCAGCAACCTCTCCATCTGTCCTGGAGCGACTGATGTCCACCTTATGCCTCTCCTTTGTCCAGTCTCCTCAGGAGGGAGGTGTCCTGGACCACCTTGTGACGGTCACAACCAGCCCGGCCAGTCACTTCCTCCCCACTGCCTGCCACACCCTGTGTGCAGACGACCCTCCAGCACGGGGCACCCGGAGTAAGTCTGTGCCAGAGTTGCTGGGCACTGCCCTGCCACGTGTCCCTTGCCCGCAGCCCCCCCAAGGTTGCCCCTGGTCCCCGGCTCCTCACCCCTTTCCGGAGCCCCCAGGGCCTGTTGAGCGTGTGCTCTGGGTGGCTCCGGCCCAGGGACAGCCCCAGGATCATCCTGTGCAAGGCACCACAAATGCCCAGGCCTGCAGGACAGCCGCACAGCCTGGCACCCCCGCGATGGCAGTACCAGGTCAGGAGGACACGGAGGACAGAGCAGACGGGCGAGATCAAGTAAGAGTCCTCCAGACGGGAAGAGCCTCTCCATCCCCCTCTCAGAGGCGCCCAAATCTCCCCAAATTGAACTGGAATACCACCCTCTTTTCAGGAAAAAAAAAATCAATGGAAATTGACCTTCTTGAAGTGAACAAACAGAAAGTGTCTCCCAGTCATACCCCCCCCCTCCAGTCTGTCTGGCGAGCCCTGGGGACAGCTGTGTCCCCCATTAGACGCCCAGCAAACGACTCCTGCAGCATTGCTTGTGCCAACAGAAGCGGGGAAGAGAAATAAGTCCATCCGTAAGGGACTGGCTGATCTGTGACGGCGGACGTTACTGAAGACCTCCAAGGCGTCATCTACACGATGATCAGACAGGAGGAAGGAGGGATTTTGTTCTGATATGAAACCACCACCAAATTATACTAACGGCTGGAGACCTAGCTCTGGGGTCACAGAGCAGGCATGCACGCACAAGCTCTCAGCTGGGGTCAGTCTGTGGTTCCCCCAAGCACCATTGAGGATGGTCTGCGTGGTCCTCGCTGGACCCAAGCAGTACCACAGTACTGGGCGTGAGCATTGAACCATCTAGCCTGGGTGGTCAAATACTACTAGATGTGGTTCCCTGGGTCCCCCGAACATTTTTGGGGAGTACCCTAATACATATATATATATATATATATATATTGGGGCTGGAGCTATAGCACAGTGGGTAGGGTGTTTGCCTTGCATGCAGCCAACCCAGGTTCGATTCCCAGTATCCAATATGATCCCCTGAGCACTGCCAGGAGTAATTCCTGAGTGCAAATCCAAGAGTAACCCCTGTGCATTTCTGAGTGTGACCCCAAAAGCAAGAAATATATATATTTAAAGTTATATATATATACACACATACATATAAAGACTATATTAAGGTTATTAATATATATTGAGGCATTTTGTTTTGTTTTGTTTTAACACCACACCCAGTGATGTTAGGTTACTGGCTCTGCACTCAGGAATCACTCCTGGCAGTGCTCAGGGAATCATATGGGATGCCGGGGATAGAACCCAGGTCAGCTGTACGCAGAGTACCTTACCCACTGTGCTATTGCTCTGGCCCCTTTGTATTAAAGTTATATATTTAGGAGGGGAGAGAGAGAGAGAGAGAGAGAGAGAGAGAGAGAGAGAGAGAGATAGTGAGATAGTGCAGAGGTGAAGGATCATGCAAGTTTGGACCCTGGCATTGCAAATCAAATTTACAGTCTGGGCCCTAGTGGTTGTTTTGTTTTGTTTTGGTTTTTAAAGTCAGACCAAGTTAATTCCCCTGCTTGACCCATAGGTGGGGTTATTAGTCAGTGATCTAAAATATCTTTGCCAGAAGACTTGTAAGTTTGTGGTTTTATTAATTTGGGGGGGGGGTGCTTATTTACAAGTTTTGAATTTTTCTGTATTTTCATTTTAGGGGGCCTCTCAAGCATTACTTAGGGAGTCTGGGGACCACTCCCAGGAGTGTGCTCAGGGACCACGTGGTGTCTGGGAGTGAGGCTGAGTATGCAGGACTCATGGCCCAACCCCTGAACAACATCTTTGATCCTGAATATTCTTTTGTTCAAATTTTATTTTTATAAAGCTGTTCACAGGAATTCATTCCATTCAGTATTCTGACACCAATCCCACCACATTATACCTTCCCACCACCACTATTTTGAATTTTTCCATCACCACCCAATCCTGTTCCAAAAGCAGCAGATCCTAAATCATTTATTTTGTATTGCTTGTTATGAATAATCCACTAAAAATGACCAAAAAATTTCCTCAGAGTAAAATGTGTGAAAATTGTTGTATATTCACAATTTGGAGCCATTAAGCCCTTGTATAAGAGATTACTAACATGCTGTTACAGGTTGAGATGTCACTCCAGGAATCCTAAAATTTAAGTAGGTTGAGAGAGCTGGAGTTAATCTTTTTTTTTTTTTTGGCTTTTTGAGTCACATTCAGCAATGCACAGGGGTTGCTCCTGGCTTTGCACTCGGGAATTACTCCTGGAGGTGCTCCGGGGACCATATCGGATGCTGGGGATCGAACCCGGATCGGCCACATGCAAGGCAAACGCCCTATCCGCTGTACAACTGCTCCAGACTCATGGAGTTAATTCTTTAACTGAATGTTGACTTTGGGGTCCAGAAGCATCTCTGCACCTTGTTACTCTCTTTCAAGATTTATCTGTGAGTCTGGACCATGGCCATGAATGAGCTTATATGATGCCAGAGGCAGTGGGTGTGACTGCCAGGCTCCTGGAAGAACAGGGAGATGGGAGGAGGTCACCCATTCCCTACTCTGTGCGGACCTAGAGATTCTGAACATTCTTCTTATTTTGCTTTGTTTTCTTTTTGGGTCACAGCCGGCGATGCACTCCAGGTTCATGCACTTGGGAATTACTCCTGGTGGTGCTCGGGGGACCATATGGGATGCTGGGAATTGAACCCCGGTCGGCCATGTACAAAGAAAAGGCCCTATTCACTGTGCTGTTGCTCCAGCCCCTGAACATTCTTCTTAACACACTTGTTGCATAAGACATATTTGCTTGTAATAATAATAATAATTAATAATAGAAACCATTTATAAGGTATTTGCAAGATATATTGAACATTCTCAGTGATCCTATGAGGATTTGTGGATTTTTTGGGGGGAGTAGGGACTTGTATGTTGGGCCACACCCAGAACTTCTATTTCTGGCTCTGTGCTCAGGAGAGAGCCCTGGTGCTGCTCAGGCAACCATGTGTGGTGGCAGAATTTAAACCAAGGTCAGCAGAATGCGAAGCAAGTGCCTTACCCCTGTGCTATCTCCCTGGTCCTCTTGTCACGGTCACGGTCCTCCCGTTGTTCATCGATTTGCTTGAGCAGGCCCAGTAACGTCTCCATTGGAGATTTTGTTGTCACTGTCTTTGGCATATCGAATACATCACGGGTGGCTTGCCAGGCTCTGCCGTGCGGGCGAGATACTCTCGGTAGCTTGCCGGGCTGGCTCTCTGAGAGGGGCGGAGGAATCGAACTCGGGTTGGCCATGTTGGCCGCTTGTAAGGCAAACGCCCTACCGCTGTGCTATCATTCCACCCTGGTCCTCTTAAAAGGATTTTTGTCTTTGAGAACACAGGGCACAAAGGTCACATAACTGCCCAAAGCCACACAGCTAGAAACTGTCAAATCTGGAAAGTGACCAAGACTGAAGCCAGCCAGCAGTGTGGAAGCCCCCTCATCTGTATGCCTCAGCCAGGGTTTCCTGGAACAGCTGACCAGGATAGAGAAGACACTTTTCATTATTTTTTTCCCCAGGGTGGTGGGAGGCTCCCACACCTGGTTTTGTTGAGGGTTTACTCCTGGCTCTGTGCTCAGGGATCACTCCTGGCGGGCTTAGGAACTAGATGTGGTGCTAAGGTTAGAACCCACGTAGGCTGTGGCAAGGCCTACTGGCTGTACTATCTCTCTGGACCCAAGCCACTATAATTCATTTGTTTGTTGGCTAGTTTGGGGTTTTTGGGGGGTGGAGTTTATCTGTTTTTTGTTTTGGGGCCATATCTGGCAATGCTCAGAGGTTACTCCTGGCTCTACACTCAATTATGCCTGGCAGTGCTCAAGGACCACATTGGGATGCTGGGGATCAAACCTGAATAGGTGACATGAAAGGCAAACGCTTACCTACGTACATCACTCTAGACCCAGCACTATAATTCTGTCCCCTGAGACTACCAGGAGTGATCCCTGAGCACAGAGTCAAAAGTAAGCCCCACACTGAGATTCTCTTATTATTTAATTTTTTGTTTTGCTTCTGGGCCACACCTGGCAGTGCTTGGGGGCTACTCCTAGCTTGGTACTTGGGGATCATTGGTGCTGGGGACAGTGAGGAACCTGCACTGCTCCATGCAAAGATTTGCCACTGTAGTACAGCAGATAAGGTGCTTGCCTTGCATGCAGCCAACCCAGGTTCAATCCCTGGCGTTACATATGGTCTCCCAACTACCAGGAGTAACCCCTGAGCATCACTGGATGTGGCCCCCAAACAAACAAACAAACAAACAAACAAAGCCTAATCTACAGCCATTTGAACAATGAATAATCTCTTCACTCCTCCCCATTTCCTTATTATTAATATGCATATAATACATTTGTTACAAAAAAAGAGCTAACATTTTACTTGATATAGATTTCTCTACATTTTTTGTTGTTGTTGCTTTTTGGGTCACACCCGGCGATGCACAGGGGTTACTCCTGGCTCTGCACTCAGGACTCCTGGCGGTGCTCAGGGGACCATATGGGATGCTGGGAATCGAACCCGGGTCGGCTGCATGCAAGGCAAACGTCCTACCCTCTGTGCTATCTCTCCAGCCCACTTTTTTTTTTTTTCATTTCTCTACTTTTTACACAAAGCCTTTTTCTCTCTAGAATTCTGCCTGGGACATCACATCACACTTAGTCATCAGAGCTGCCTCAGTTCCACTTGACCGGGATATCTCCCGATTTTCCTTGCTGCTACGGATCCTGCCTCAGCAGGAGGGGAACTGGCCAGCCTGTCTCTGGGTGGGAAGGTCCAATGTTCCTCCTGGTGGATGGAGGATCCATTCATCCATCCTCCTGATGGCTTTGGGAGAAGATCACAGAGGTTAAGGACCCTCTCCGTTCACATCAAGGTGCACACTGCCAGCGTGGCCGTGACAGGTTAGGGGTGCTGGCCAATGAATTGCTCTTCCCACCAAGTCTCTCTCCCCCACCCACACCTGTGCTCCCAGAAGGAGTGCGTTACAGGAAGCCCCCGTGAACAGAGCCAGGAGAGATGCGCCTTGCTGGTGGACTCAACCCCAAGTACTCAGAATTCTGGACACGCACTTTTGGATCCTGAGTTACCATCACAGTATCACTGTATCAATGTCATCCTGTTGTTTGTAGATTTACTTGAGCGGGTGCCAGTAATGTCTCTATTCCTCCCAACTCTGAGATTTTAGCAGCCTCTCCTTACTCGCCTTTTCCCAACGATTGGAGGCTCTT